TGAATTCATGAAATACATGACACCGCACAATGAACTTTAAACATGTTACATGATTATCCCTGGGGGAGGAAGCGTGCTGGGAAGGTGACGTAAGTCGTAATTATAGATGTACAGTATCTTATATTCATCAAATCGTTTTTACAGAGAGGGAGAGAGAGAGAGAGAGAGAGAGAGAGAGGGGGGGTAACATGGATAAGCATGGGGGAGATAGAGATATGGTTAGAGAGAGAGAGAGAGAGGGGGGAGAGGGGAGAGAGGGGGAGAGGGGGAGAAAGAGAGAGGAGAGGGGAGAGAGAGAGAGAGAGAGAGAGAGAGAGAGAGAGGGAGAAAGAAAGAAAGGAAAGAGGGGGGGGGGGAGGGGCAGTAGAGGTGGTCGCAGATGTTCATCCTGTCACCATACAGATCTAATTCTGAAGTAATCATCACTTCGTAATGTATTACATCACACTGACAAGGATAAAGCAACGATTTAACTGCAAATTACAAATTCCCCGTTTCACCGAGTTCCTCGTGTCTATAATGTTCTGCGTTGAAGATTTCCCCTTAAAATTAACGAACATCTTCTACCTATAGCTCCCCTCCCCCTCCCCCATCGTCTATATTTGTTTCTATTCCCTCCTTCTCTCTCTCTCTCTCTCTCTCTCTCTCTCTTTTACTCCCTCACGAACTTCATCTGTCTGCCTTTTCCTGTAAATTCATTTAGAAATGTGTACATAATTATACGCGTTCGTAAAGTACATCTTCCAAAAATATAGTTCGATAGAAAATGATTAATAAATATTTTTCATTCTAGTATTCTGTTTATTGTGATACAAACACGTAAATTTAATTGAATGCAACATTTTTTATAAGTCCATCCTCCTTCTCTTTCATTAGGTTAATATCCACAATTTGTCCTAGATTACTCTTCAAATCATGTCTATTCTCATTCCCCGTTACATCCAGACTTTATATCTCTCTGTATTTTTTAAACCTGTCTTTGAACATGTTCCATAGAGTTTGCTTCATTGATTCGTGATCGTATCATGTTTTTTTCTTCATCTTTTTGATAGGCAGATAGGAAACAAATCTTCCAAAAGTCATTCCATAAACATTAGCCCATCCTCTTCTCATTCTCTCTCTCTCTATTACATCCTTCTCTCACTCTCCCTCCTCCTCTCTCACTCTCTTTGTATCTCTCTTATTAATCTATCTTCTCTTTTCCTATCTCATAAGAATATAAATCTGTACTCAGATTCTTCCTGTCCCTTTACTCCCGTCTTCATCTTTCTACAATTATGAGAGAAAACTTCAGTTGTCACATTATCCAGGCCTATAAAAAATGATGAATAGCATGAATATCAAACAAACAATGAGAAGTAGGGTATTTTCGAAGACAAACGCGCCATGGTAAACGACAGAAAAATAGAAAATACTTTACAGCTGCACACCCGATTGTGTTTTAATACTGAGTAGTTTTCGAACATATTGACAGGTGTAGTATAATCTCCAAAAAGAGGGAAAGACGATGTATGGATCGAAGAGAGCATGAAGAGGTGAATGAGAGGGGTAGAGAGAGAGAGAGAGAGAGAGAGAGAAAGAAAGAGAAAGTGACATAGAGACAGAGAGTGAGAAAGAGACAGAGACAGACAGAGAGAGAGAGAGAGAGAGAGGGGAAGAGAGAGAGAAAATAGAAAGAGAAAATAGAGAGAGGGAGAGATTGTTTGGTGATTCGACCTTGAAGCATAGATATATTCTCGGATACATCAGGGATAACATCAATGAATTATATATGTACACTTTCTTTATACCATTATAACATGATCACCAATAGTTTGGTATTATTTAGCACGTTTCTTAGTCACTTCAGCTTTTCACTGTTGTTACAAAGTGTCACAATTTATAATTAAATGGATGTCTCATCCTTCTACAAAAATGTCCTTGCTCAAGTATCTTTTACCCTTTTTTTTATTTTTTTTTTATCTCATTCTATTTCACTATCTCTCATATCCCCCCCCCCCCCCCCCCCCATTTCTCTCTTACCTTCCCTAATTATCTTTTTCAGGCTCTCCCTTTATCTCTTCTCAACCTTTTCCACTTTATCTTACTCTTTGTCAATTTTCCCTATTTCATCTCTTCAAACTTTTCGGTCATGAGCACAAAGGCAGTAGGGGGGGGGGGGGGAGACTGGTAATATGAAATGAAGGTGACACTTCAACGAACATTCGAACTCTAATGATTCAGTCATTTTGCTACAACTCGGTGTGTCATTGTTAGCATGGCCAACATTCTGTATGTGCTACTTGAACTAAATATCTTTTATATTTAATCTTTTTAAACAAGATGCCCTTTTCCAACATCTATATTGACATGTACCATTTACATCTCCCTCTTTTGTTTTTCCGTCAGGAAGTATATTCCTGGGGAGCGTTTCACAAAACTTGTCATCAGTGACAAATGACAGTTTTTGTTATAAGCTGGTGAAATCCTTGCTTCCGATTGGTTATCAGCAGATTTGTCACTGATTTTTGTCATTATGTTATTGAAAAAAGGCTTTGTGAAACGGGCCCCTGGACTGCCAAACTATTATGAGTATAATTCATAGAAAGTAATTTGTATGTGCGCCGAAAGACAACACATTGTAAAAGTGGTCCGATGCATGCTCTGCAGACGATCAAATTGGAGAGAGAATAAACATGAATCCTAGACAAGTCTGGTATGACTTTTTGTATGTTTTTATTCATGGAAGTCGAAATAAATGCAAACAGCTTGCTTCACATTTAGAATGAAACGAACATTATATAGCAAAACATAAATATTGCACTGAACATGATGGCATTTCTCTCATATATATGTACAAAATTAACATGTTATATAATCTATTTTGTTTTACTGTTCATCTATCCTTTACTGCTACTTTGTTTCTTTTAAAGACCGTCAATACTACTGGGCCAGAAGGGATTAGACCACACATCGAGGTCACTGACAGGTGGCTATCTCATTAACTCGGCTCTCAACTAACATAAGAAAAAGAGGATCATGAGGGACCAACAGGCACTGATTGGGGAAGTTTTCTATATAGAGAGAGCAAGTAGCTACAAGTAGGACAGTGGGGATTTAATACAAGAATATACTGCACAATTGCAAACAATATCTACTTCAGGTATCAACAGATCATTATTGACAGCTGGTCACACCAGCAGTCCCTGTAAAGAGAGCCTTGAATAGGACAATCAAATTGGCTTGCTGCTGCTCAGATGAATGTTATGTATCACTAATCAATTAACAAATAAAAGCACATCTTTTTATAGGAGATGTTTTACACAAAGTACACTATATTCTTAGAAATTAACCGATAACTTACTGTTTTCTGTATGCATGAATGATGAAGAAGAACTTGTATCAACCAGATTCGTGATGCATAAACTTAATATGTATGCTGCTCTCAATTTGGCCCAAAGTCACCAAATAGGTTATAATAATAATAATAATAATAATAACAATAGTAATAACAATAATAATGATAAGATTTATAATATGTCTTGTTTACCTAGAGTAGCCTCATCAGTATTAATACTGCTCTATCTGATGGCCCTGCAATTATATTATTACCCCGGTTAATCATAGTCCACTTTTTTTTTTCTTGCAGAGTGTATAAATGTAAATGTATGGCACATAGCTGAAATTTCATTTGAGCATCATCACGTTTTTGCATAAAGTACACAACATAAAATAGTTATATGGAAGTTTACTACCTTCGAAGTAAGAAGGACAGTATAGCAAATATTCAAATGTCATATAACTTCCAACATACTTTGTAACATCTGACTTACTGTTTGCTGCAACACGTTCGTGTCTCAATATACTCATTATATTCAAAGCAACGTTTGGTCAATGTGTAATATTAACAGTTGAATGACTTTAAATCCTCATAATACAAGTAATTGTACACAATCATTTCAAACTTTCAATGTTTAATATAATAAGCCACAGAGAGCAGACCAGTACTTACATCTCCTTAATGTATAATTATCTAGTTGTGCCATGAATACACGAGATGATATTGTAAGCATACTTTGTTTACCCAAGGTATTTTTAAAAACAATTTCAGCAACATTTGGTCAATGTGTAATACAAGCTATTGAACGACTTTAAATCCTCATAAAACACGTACAAGTAAATTTACACCAAATACTGTGCAGTAAGAATGACAATATAGCATATATTCAAATGTCATATTACTTAAAACTTGTTGTATACAAAATAGTTTGTAACTTCTCACACGTTTTTGTTTGACCCAAGTGCATACATGTGAGCTTTGAATGCTGATTGTTCAATACTGACCTAGGCAGTGTTAGCCATACTATTCTGTAGTAAAACTATGATTTAATATAAACCATGGTCCATGACTGGCTTAATCATTGCAGTGTCACTGCATTGTGCATGAATAATGAGATGAAAATTAGATAAATGTCTGTTTTCCCCCTAAATCCATGGATGCATGCAGGTAATTAATCATAACTTGATATGCCGACATCGTGTTCTTATAAAAATGAAGCTAAGTAAAAATCAACACCGACACAGTTTTGTTCACCATCTATATAAGCATAATTCATTGCTTATAATGTTTACATGTACTTTGGAGTATACTGTGTTAAGTTTCTGATCACTATTTATCACCCTCTTTTTGTTAAGTATACTCATGTATGGGGCAGACAACCTATTTCTCTGATGCACTAAATGTATAATAATGGGATAGTATTGGATACTTGTAGAGGTGTTGTGGTCTTGTGGTTACATCACTGGACTGAGGATCACATGGTTTTCAGTTTTTGAGACCTGTGTGTGTGTGTAATTGTTCTTTTTTTTACAGACGTGTATCAATCAGATATAATTATTTATGTCTGGAGACAGACTTTTAACGTCACCATCCGAAAGACGCGACTCAGTTTCGAACCTGCATCCTCGGTTGAATCAGTTTGTAACTTCCATTGTTAGCTGGATTACAGGCGCATGCCACAAGCAAAGCGGCACTAATGGCCTTTGGCAAGACACTGAGCTACATTTGCCACTGTCCACCAGGTGATATAAATGGGTAATTAGTAGGAAGAAATTGTTTGAATGTAACAGCCATATTAGTAAGGCAGGAGTTCATTTGAGTATATATTTTGTAGTTTAGAAAATTAGTTTTAAACACCATATAAATGTTACTATTATTATTATTATTATCATTATTCACCAGGCAAAGTGCCCAACAAACTCCAATATCATCCCAGCTCTAACTACGCTACTAATATCTGTGCTTCAAGCATTAAGAGGATTCTTTCATCCCAGGTACACATTCCAAACCTGGGTGGAGAGTGGTACATGCAGATTGATGTTTCGTACATATGTCATGGTCCTATACCATCTGATGAATTCATAGAGGGCAGCAGCATAAATCCTTTCTAGGACTGATACTCTGCTTTGGCCATGGTTTGGTTGGTGTCATCCACTTACAGTAGGGAGCTTTTCAATTTGCACAACCCTTTTGATCTATGACGTGAAATTTACTGACCATGTCACGTCTCCACGCAAGTCTCCGTCTAACAAAAAAAAACTACTTCGATTTCGCGACTCAACAGCACGGGCCTGTTCACATAACCATTCTGATAACGTGTCCCATGTACATGTAGCAGGCATGTACATGATAGGTTGAGCAGTGGCAGGGTGAAACTGTTTTATTTGCCATGAATACTGTATGATATGTTTGTAATGCAGCTAGTTTAAGAACAAAAATTATCATGTCTGCTACACTTTTATGGTCCACTAGATAGAGAGAAAACTTGTTATTTAGGACATCTGGTCCCGTCTTACGAAGAGTTTCGATTGATACAAATCAATCGCAACTTTGAGGTCTCCTATCTCTTAGATACATACATAAATTTATTGCGATTAATATCAACTCTTTGTAAGACAGGGCCATTGCTGTATGATACCTTTGTAGTGTGGCAGGACGCTAGCTCATTTTGTTCATATGTGACGTCTGCTACGAGTATAACTACATGATCGTGCTCAGCATTGATTGATGCCCCACAGGATGGAGAGTGAATTTGGTCCACCTCGTCAAGACTGCTGCATGATGCGTTTGAAGTGAGGCATGACTTCATGCTCCGGCACGTGGAGTGAGAACTCTAGCGCTACCAGGATCGGGAACTCAAAGGCAATCAGGGTCTTGCGGCTCTCCCGAAACACAGACTCAATATCCTGAAAAATTAAGAGAAAAATAAATATTAATAGTGACTGGTTAGAAAATGATAATAAACAAGGGAAATGCTCTCGGCGGTGTCGCCTGCATTACGCAATTCAATATGATGAAAAATTAAGGATGGGACATTATTCATAGGCAGGGTGGCCTATTAGCAGGCCCCCCAAAATGAAATCCTCTGAATATAATCGGCATTTTGAAGTGAATTTTGAAAAAGAATCATCAGAAGAATTATTTACTATTATTTGTACCAAGATTGATAACTTTAATGCACTATGAACAAACAACAAAATTTAAATTATTAATTCTCATATTAAGTTATGAAAACATAATCCCAAGTCTACGAACCTAAAATGACCTTTGACCTTGACTTTGTGACTTGGAATTTGTGTCATATGATTTGTGATACTTGATAACCCTTGGGTTCAAGTTTCATGGAATTTGAACAAACACTTTTGAAATTATTAAAGAATTCAAAATCTTGATGTTGATACCACAACATAGTCTAAGATTGCAGGCCTGAAATAACATTTGACCTTGACTTTGTCACCTAAAAAACTAATCACATGATTGGTGATACTTGATAACCCTTTAGTCCAAGTTTCATTGAATAAGGACTTATGCTTTCAAAATTATGATTAAAATTCAAAATCTTAACCTTTGGTTAAGTTTTGATGTTGATGTTGATGTTGATGTCACAACAAAGTCTAAATCAAATAAACAATTCAAAAACATAGGTTAAGTTTCGGATATTGACGTCTCTGCTGCCCCCGCCACTGGAAAAGCGGTGCCTTTGTCTCGCTTTTTGAAATGCAGGCGAGACAAAAACGTGGTATAATTTCAGTAAATGCGTTCCACCTGACTGTGTTTGACCAACTAGTTTATTAGGATCTAGGAGTGAGTTGTATAAAGTGTAATATCATTCAATACACTACAATAATCCATACATTATATTTGACTGAATGCACGTAAACGTACCTTGATAAGAGTTTGCAGGTCAGCCCCTTTCACGTCATTCAACTTAGCTGCAAGTAGTAGAGAAGTACCTGACGGAAAAGACCAGTTTCATGAAAAAAGTTGATATCAGTATTGTATATTTTAAAATGGCAACACCTTAGGCAGACCTGCCAACCTCTGGAGTTCAAACACTGTATTCTTTAATCCCCAAAGTTGTATTTTACTGACAAAAGTTGTATTCTTAAAAATAAACACAAACTGTTATGCAGATCAATGCCTCTAACAGTTCCTACATACAGGAAGATTTTTTTTTTATGGATCATTGGTTGAATCACTATGCATGATTTCGTCACGACTGGTGTGTTCGATGAACCAATGAACATCCCTAAATTGCGGATGTGAGATGCTTGTAGGACATTTTACAAGACAGAATCGTACTGGTTGGCAGGTCTGCCTAGGTCATTGCATGTGGTCTAAATGAGGAGGATGTTCAAGACAACTAGAAGTGGAGGGAGGAAGTGTCATCATGGCGCGATTGTCAGTAACCACTCGTAAGAGGGAAAATGCTGTCTTTAATAAATGATTATAATCACTATTGAATAATTACAACAGTTGCTCATTGTCTGTGCCTCCTCATTGAATGAATCGATCGATTGGCCAATATGGAAAGAGTTCAAAAAGGGTGATGTATTTCACAAAAAAGAAGCATTCTTTCAAGTACAATTATCACACACGATGACAAAAAAACATAGGATGACTGTATAGTTACCCGAGCATGATTTACGATTCTCCTTGTTGACCTTTCGATGTAGAACAAGCTTTTCAAAGTAGACATAGCTGACGGCTAAAATCCAAGGATCAAGAGAACAGTTGTCGGAAACTTTCTTCATCTCACGTTTTAAACTGGAAAAAAATAACAAAAATTAAAGGGATTTTATAGAACTTTCAATAAAATGATATCATTCTCCCATTAAATGCTTTAATTGTGCTCTTATCTGTTGCAATATATTTAGAGAAACACATCTGAAATCTCAAGCTATAAGTCAAAGTTAATTGAGATGTTAAAATTAGAATTAAATAATAAATAATTGTCACTGTCCACATATTGCCAGATTTGATCAGTGCTCGCTTCTCCAGTTTAAATTCTAATCATAATTACACAAATGCATTATGAAATATCATATGAAAGTTCATTGAATTTGAATATATGATACCTTATGTATACATTACACATGTTTATTATGGCTTTGAACATACATACCCGAAATCCAAATTTGCACTTATTTTAGTAATCTCATATCTCAAATATTCATAGTTCTCTTATCATTGGTGCAATTTATTTCAAACTTTTGCTATTCTGTTTATTATCATTTTGGGGGCTGTCATACAAATGAAATTGGTAGATGGGTTGGATTGCACTGTCAAAAGTTATAAATGGATTTCATAAGAATTCATACTTCTCGTATAATTGGTCCAATTTATTACAACCTTTCACTTTTCTGTTTGTGTTTGTTATTTTTTGTTGACTGTCATACAAATGAACTTGGTATATGGGTTGGATTGGACTGTCAGATTTATGAATGGATTGCTTACCTTCTCAGCTTACTGAGACTGAGATCTATGTTTGGGAATCGTTCCCTGAATTTATTATTCAGTTCCTTCTTTAGTTCTGATGGCTTGGTGTAGTCTACCACAGATACCTGGGATATGCATGAAAATAAAATAAGCAGTCATTATACAATGGTGCGTGAGAATGAGTTCATTAAATGATCTATCTGCTTTCTAGGTGAGGCTGCATGCATCTATTAAAAAAAGAAAAAGCAAATGGATCATTTTAATGAATGAATGAAAACATACACCATTTGTTTTATACAACGAAACTCATAGATCCTTGTTATATAATCTAAAAAGAATTAATTTGTTTTGTGTCTTATATTTCATCAAAAGTGAACAAACTCACGTACACAGATAAATCAACTGACATGCCAACTACCTCACTCTTTGTGTTATTACTATAACATGACCACAACAACAAAAAGAGCAATATCTATTTCATGATGTTTTCAGTCAATAGGCTAGAAATTTTGTGAAAATCCCCCATACAGCTAATAGTTCAAAATAAGTTTGTACTAAACAATGGCGTGGTGATCACACCAACGCCGGACACTGAATCTGCCAACTCACCATATAAGAAGAGAATGTAAGAAGTTTACGATGCTTTCCAAGACTGAGCTCTGGATCATCCAGCTCTACAGGGTCGTAGATTCGCTGAGCGATGGACGGATGGTCAACGGGATGACCCTCAACCTCAACTAGGTCAGAAGGGAGAAGAGGTCAAAAGGAACGAAAGTGAATATGAAAGGCCATTGCAAATGATTTTTCATATTTAACTTGAAGGGGAAGTCCAGTCCAAGAATAGCTTGCTTTGAATACAAGCATAAAAATCAGACTCACTGATCAAAAACAGTTTGATGAAAATTGGATAACTCATAAGAAGGTTATGAATGAAAACTATGAACATCACTAGACAAATTGGCAACTCTGTAAGGACTTTATGACGTCAGTCCGTCACAAATCACCAATGGTTTTGTTTATATTAATGATATAAATTTCCAATGTTTTCCTCAAAGAAATTGATTTCGTCATGCCTTTGCCCAGATTATGTTGACTAAAATCAATTTTCATAATTTTAACAGAAAAAATACCTTGCTCAAGGTCATGAGTGCCATGCCGAGTCTCGAACCCACGACCTTGGCATTTCCAGTCAAGTGATTTAACATACATACTGTATGGATTCCAAGCTGATTATATGTATAAACAACGCAGACTGTGAAATATGACGTTGAAAAGTGATTAAGATTCTTACTTTTATCCCATTGCAGTGGAGAGACATTTGTGAGGGTCATCTTGCGTATTGCGGGGGAGTGTGGTGATGCAGAGGAGAGCTGTTCTCTTTCCTGGAGTTGCCTACGAAACAGAATCAGACTGATGTCTCGGCTTGGTACTAAGAAATGACTGAATGATACCACCTGTTGGGATATCAAATAAAGAAACAGTCAAACAATAACATGTAAAAACAGCACTAATTGGGAATTGTACAGCACATGTGTCTGTAATGCACAGAGCTCATGGGCCAGTTTTATTACTGGGGGTGGTGTTTCACAAAGATCCTAAGTTGGACTTAACAATTATGGAAAGCTGTTAGCATCTGTGAAAATATTTTGTAAAAGTTATTTTAAAAGGCATAAAATGTTGATTCAAATCATTCATATTTTCTAGTATCAAGGAGGTTTCGTGTTCTTGATGTGGAATTTATAAAAAGTCTAAAATACTTGAATTTTCACTTTTAAATATATTTTATTTTAGGCAACATGTACATATGGCTCTCCATAATTTTTACGTCCAACTTAGAGTTAACTTCTACTTAGGATCTTTGTGAAACACCCCCCCCCCCCCTGGACTTTCCCTAGTAAAAAAAACCCCTATTATTTGTTGCAGGAGGTATGATGTATGAGGAAGATAACTTAAGTGAATCCTATTAGTGTGATAAACTGTGTTCATCACATCCAATGTCAATTTCCTTCATGGCAATAACTACACAAATTATAAAATGCAAAAGTACTCTCTGTCTATGCCAATGATATGAAATAAGCAAAATAAATACAGATCAAAAGTTACTTTTTTTATTGCTAAATTTGACTCTGGAGAAAATTTCCATCAACGTTGATTTAAATAGCAAACAAAACACATGACACTCATCAGTAAAAGAAAAGAAAAAAACTCAAACAAAAAACAATAGTAATGATATACAATTCACATTTAAAGGCCATTTTATATATTTGTTTTTGTTGCTTACAGTGCCTTCAACACCAAGCTCCACCCCATCTAGCGTGGCCAGAAAGTCATCGCTCCGGACTGTCAGTGGTTTGCTCCCTGACGTACGTCTCGTCCGTATAAAAGTCCCAGCTTCAGAATTCTTCCTGAAAGCATGCATGGAAGAAAAAAAATGAGCGAAAAATAGGAAACAATAATAATTAAAGGGGCACGTTCCCGCCATTGTAGTTATCGCTGCTCTAGTCATCGCCATCTTGGTTCCGAAGATCGACTTCTAATTTGTATACAGCTGTCAATCAAAGTACGCGCGGCCTGGCCTACCATCGTCAAGCCAGCTGTTCGCTGCCGATCCTGACGTCACGAAAGTGGGTGGAAACAGCAGCCGAATCTTAGAACCGAACTGCGATTGGTATTACTTCGGCACATGTATGCGATCATCGGCATTGTGCGGGCATTCAGAACATGCCATCTGCGTAAGAGCCGTATTCTGTTGGTGTCAATAGGCAGCTAGCACCGTCCGCCAGGGGGTACGTATTTTAAACGCCCTCTGGAATACGGGGAACATGCCACTTTTAAGCTTTTATATAGCGCTTAATACATCTATGATGTCTCTAAGCACTTTACAGATATACTATTACCCCAGTCATTGGATTCACTACTTGCCCGTACACACTGTGTGCACGACCTGCTCTCCCTGAGGAGTATTCCAGACAGGCGTTACTTGACGCTCAAAACTGTTTAACCAACAATCATATCCTGGCTTTCATACAGCTACCATAATAAGGCACTCAATCAAGCAAGGAGTTTCTTCCTATTGGGTGGAGAGTAGCAAATGTACATAATTTAATAATGATAACATTTATATAGCAAGGCAACTATATGATTATAGTCTATTATAAGATGGGTAGAAGAATCCCTGCAATCTGATTGGTCAATTACCATGTAATTATTTTAACTGGATGCACGCGATATCAGCAATCAATACCACCGATATCCTTTTTTTTTTAAATAATTCTCTTTTCTTTTCTTTTTTTCAATAATTTTTTTTTTTATATAAACTTTTCTTTTAATGATTTTTTTGACAATTTTTTTTTTTGGTGATAATTTTTTTTTTTTTGGTGTCTTTTGATGATTATAATCTGTTTAAAATTTGTTAAGAAAATTTTATAAAGTTTACAGTTTAATGTGCACTGACAATTTTTTTTTTTTTTAAATTTCATGACAAGTTAAAAATCATGCGTCCGGTAAAAAAAATCAAGCATCTGGTAAAAAAAAATCATGCGTCCAGTAAAAAAAATTACCGGACGCTAAATCTGTAAAATAACAACATTTTGTATTTTTGGGGCCCCCATCTTATAAAACAGATGAAGCTCAGGTTTAATTCGTGGGTCGGTGGAATTGTGTGCATGCGGTACCTTTGAATTTGGTCTAAAACCATTCAAAGGTACCTTGTGCACACAATCCCTACCGACGCACTCAAACCTGTGCATCATATGTATACTATGCTTCATACATACAAAGCATGACACTATTGGTCAGTTATAATGTTAAAATGCTTAATAATACAAATTGTTAATTTTAATTATTTTACATTCACAATACATATGGCTCTGTATGAATAGATCTGCACAACTATGCTTTAAAATATCTTACCTGTAGATTCCAAGCTGACTTCGTCTGGTGTATGGCAAGAGAGAGTACATCACGAAGGGTGAATGGTTGGGCGTAACAAGCAACATTCTGAAAGAAAAGAAATCTGTTAAAATTTCTAATTCCAACCATAAATATCCTGATAATCAGACAGGCAATGGGCTTGTATTTCTGACTGACCTAAAGGTTTATAATTATGATTGCAGCATTAGTAAATCCAGGATTTTGTTTAGAATCTGAGACAAAGATACAAAAATCCCTTTAAAGCCCTATATGTAGGTCCCCTGCTTGATTGCTTACGAGCTTACACATGCTTTCTTAGCATTCAGGTTTAAAGCCACACTGTGCTACTTGTAGCTACTATAGAAAACAATGCCTAATCGGTGACCATTAATCTCTAATGATTCTCTCTTTCTTTTGTTAACTGAGAGCTGAGATAATGAGATAACCATCTGTCCAGTGACCTTATAGGGTGGTCTAATCCCTCCTATAAACTGGTACAGATAAGCTTTAAAAGAAACCAAACTAACTTACTTTCATGCTGGAATGAATCCTACAACTTCTTACCTTTCGTTTTTACACATGCGCTGACGGAATGTTTTAGCCACTGGAATCTGGAATCCCGCGGGCGGGGATCGCTCTTTGGGAGACTCGATATAGCACTGGGCCTGGTTAGAGGGCAGCATACAGGTCTCTCCCTCCGCCACCAGCGTGAGCGAGCCTGAGAAGTCAGTCGACTGCTGATGGTGAAAGAGACGCCTCTTGGAGTATTCATGGGAACTGGTCCCTGAAAAACTACTGCTGAAGCAAAAGAAAAAATTCGGGAGGATTGAGGCTTGTTCAGATATATAGTGCAGTGAAAACACTGCTATAAAGCTGCCACCTCAATTTAAAGTGTGCAAATGAATGGCAATTGCATGCAACATTTGAACAAAAGGACTTGCATGTATTATCTAAGCTCTGTGTTACATGTACTTATAAGACACACAAATATTAAGCATATTTCATTCATAAAAACGCTGCAAGTTTGTTGCGTCATATCTCAACAAGCCTTTACTAAACTGAGATGCTACAAAGTGTTTGTAAAGCCGTTTTCTAGCATGAAAAATTCATTTTCTTTTAAATTTAAAAAAAAAAGTTTGCAAATATATTCTTCTGACTATTGCTACAATCATAAATCATCCATATTTTTGGTTGCTTACAGTCTACGGGAGTATGAATACTACTTTGATATTACAAGGAAATTCACTAAATTGAGAGAACTCTGTGCATGCACCTATACAAAACTAATCGCTATTAATCTTAAAGTATTAAATTTGAGACACAAAAACATTTGTTTGTGTTCACCCATGTTATGTAGTGAGGCATCTAAGCTCAATATCATCAGGAACGTATTTGAAGTAAAGCAAATCACTATCACTCTGGTATCAATTTTTCCCTTTGCCATTTTGGGTTAAATTCTTGACTAATTTCAAGTTTCAAAGTGCTTTTTATGACAAGAAAGAAGAGTCTACTTGCGAGCTCAGAAGTCAGTGTGCGGTAAGGCCAAATTGCCCTAAAGCCTATAATTTCCGTAAAACTAAAGGGTTATTAAAAACACATCAGATGTTTAATTTATTTTTTACTTTAGATCTATTTGTTTAGACTACATCACTCTTCAGTCTTCACAGCAAAGGGTCACCAATTTAAGGCTTAGATATATCAATATCATATCATCACCTAGCCCTAACACAATGGTGATGACCTCTGACTGGCACTTTGTAAATGTGCTGCTTCCGTATAATGCGCTGAATAACACTCATAGTAGATCTACAGCGCATTATACGGAAGCAGCACAATCACGGAAGTGCCAGTCAGAGGTCATCACCATTGTGTAGAGATCGTGGATTCACACGGTACACGTGAAAAGGGAGCTGAGCTGTATCGGTCTGGTAAGAAAATTGCTTTTAATTTTTTATTTTTACCTCTGATTATGATATTCTGGGTGTAGTTACGATCACACACAATTTATCAAAGCCACTGTCCAATATTGGTCGGGTGCGGGAAAGTGTAATTTTGGACACATTTTTGATGTTGTTTACCTAGAGTAGTGGCTCCGGTCTGCGGCCGATCGGCGGGAACTGCCGATTCTATTTTTATTGGAATAATCACAGAATACTTCAATACCCTCAATAAAGAGTCCATATACTTACTTATTAAATAGAAGTCACAAATAACCTAACTGACCCACAGCGTGGTCAGCATTGACCATGTTTCGAAATGCTTCGAGTTCCCCGGTTTGCGGGCACGCATTACCGGTTTGCGGCACGCGTACGTCACAAAGCTTTATGCGCTACGTCACGATGAAAGCATGTACCAAATTACTACGGGTAACCCAAATTCTCATGTTTATCTGTTGCTACGGTAAATTTGTCAAGTTTTAAACAATTTCACCTTTTCCTCGAATGGATCATCCCATCCGGGGGTAAGTACTACTAGAAACTATCGGGTCATAGCGGGTACACACATCAGCACACATACCATCATACACGATCCCGCATGTTATGTGTGTATTAACACCCCCCGCCGCAAACCAGAAAAAACACGTAATTACGTGCCGGTTTGCGGCCACCCCATGCAACTGGCCATGCGGTGGCACAATCAAAATATCTGCGATAGGAGACAGACCACAGCCATCATACTTCCACAAAAACATCAAATTTCACCTCCAATCGGACAAATATCGGACAAATAGAGCTACAATATTGATCTAGTCATGCCTCGATCTCTTAACTTAAAAGTTAGCACCTGCTGGAATTTTCATCGGCGACTGGTGCCGTAGATTTCCGACATCGCTGACGGATACTCCGTACCGACAGGAGCACCTGCTACGGACGTTTTCGGCAAAGCAGAACTTACCGTGGAATCCGCGGTAGGTTTCAATGATTATTATCGAGTCATATTCATTTTATTTTAAAAACAAATACCCCTGGCCGCAAACCGGGCGATGCCGCAAACCGGAGACTCTACTCTACCTCTCCGTGGGACCCTATGGGAGCAAATTAAGGCTCCCTCGAATAATATCATAAAAAACATTTTGAGGGAGCCCTTAAGGCTAGTCCTACCAACATCGATGGATTAAAGTAAAGTAGATCTAGAATCTAGAGTCTAGTCTAAGTAAAGTCTAGTCTAAGTAAAGTAAAGTCTACTTGTTAATGTTAGTTACTAAAAATATATTAGATTGTACATGTAGCCCACCTCGAATGATAAAAGGGTGAATCATGTTTGTAAGAGCTAAAAGGGGGACTCTTTTCACCACCAGAAGTTCTCCTACTTCGGGATCGAGTTCGATTCCCCATGCTACTATTGGGTGTGTCCACCGCAGACCTAACTTGATTCAGCCCCGTGCCTGTCGCGGTAGATGTCGCTCCAGTTGCAGCGTCTTTCTCGCTGCGAGAATTCTCCGGATATTTGGTCCCAAAATCGGTGCCATTCTCCACATCAAATTTATTCGAATCTTTGCTAAGTTTTTCAGGTTGTTCTTGCGAAGGTAGAGTGCCGTCGAGTGAAATGTTAGTCAAGAAATTGAGAGCCTCGAGCCTTCTTTTTGCATGTTTTAAGTGGACCTTTTTCCTGGAAACTTCGGCCATGTTTTGAAGAACAAAGTATGGATCGCCAAGCTGGGATCAAGTTTGAAATTGGGCATTTGGATTATGGAGTACTCCTTGTGTAGTGGGCGTAATATTGCTCTTTTTTCTACTCTATTTTTTAAAACAAAAATTAATGAGATCAGCTTTCAGCCTTGAACAATTCTGGTATAAGTTTTGGTAACCATGCGATGTAGCTTCTTTATGGGAAATCATTGCAGTGGCGGATCTAGAGGGGGGGGGGGGGGTTCGGTGGTTCAACCACCCTCCCCCCCCCCCCTTGGTTGGCCAAGTGAGAAAAAAAAAGAGGGGGAAAAGAGGGGGGAAATGAAAAAAAGAAGAAAAAAGTAAAAAGGGGTTCGGGGGAGGGGGAGTTGCGCGAACCCCCCCCCCCCTTAGAAAACAGAAGAGATTTTTTTTATTTTAAGGGGGGGGGGTGTTGATTTTAAAAAAAAAGGTGCTCTATAACACCCCCCCCCCCCCCCCGTTGAACAAAACAAAACAAATTAGTGCTCACTACCTCCCCCCCTCCCCCCCCCCCCCCCCGCTTATTCGCTGCTAAATATTCCTCGGGCTTGGTCGCTCCCTTGCAATGTCACACTCTCACCTCTGGCTCAAAGTTGCAACCCGAGAACCCCCACTTAAAAAAATCTTGTACGGCCTTGAGCATTGGTCTAATATATGACAATGATTTTGTATTATTAAAAAAATACCCAAACATTACATCATCTTTGAGCTAAAGTTCTTACTGTGACCCAACCCCCCCCCCCAAAAGGTAAAAATCACGTGATTTCACATGATCCTTGCCCCCCCCCCCCCCCCCCTGGATCCCCCACTGGATCTTTAGACCTCTATGAATAAGCCACTCTTGTCGGCGGGCGCAACAGTTAGGGAATCGTTGCGGCGGGGAAACGTAAAGGGTGCACACGCTCACATTTTGTTTTTGGAAGACGTACACGCACGGCACGTACCGGACGGCGGACGACGACGAGGAGGGCGAGTGTCGGTGACTCGGTGTACCTATCATCTTGAGATCATAGACAGACTAGGAGACTGGGTTTTAGTCAGGTCGGCAATTGAAAGGCAAGATTTAATGTTTCGACGATGCTGTCTCTAAAGGTCCCATTTTCGCTCGTCATCTCTCTCGCTGTTCTTGGACTTCTTTCATTGAAGGATGAAGGCGAACAAAATGTTACTAATTTCGGTGAGCAAAAGAAGTTAATTGAATTTATTTGTATGGGTTTGTGGAATATTGAAGGCTGTATTGGCTTTCATGCGAGAGGTCTGGAGTTCGATCCTTGTTCCGGATGCTTGGACAAGGTATGCTGTACTTGTTACCATCCCTTTCGAACCAGGTGCATTTATGTTTATAGGTATGTCTACCTGAGTAATACATGCTAGGGAGAGCAGCATTAACACTGATGAGACTTTTGGAGATAAATATTACAATACTAATTATATGCCATTCTGTTTTAATGTTAGGACCTATACATATTCATTTGATTCTCGTCTTTTTTGTCAATTAATGCACCATATCACCTTTTAACAAATACATAATTTTAACCAATAGTATTCTTTAATTGGGCACATACCGTTTGATGAAATGCAATTGTATTCGAAAATACAATTTTGCGATTTAATCTCCCGTTTCGAGAGATTTTTTAAGTAAGCACATGATGTCAGATCAATTTAAACGAAGCCATCACAACGGCCCCCGCCAAAAATAAAAAAGAAAGGGGGGGGGGGATAATAGTTGTATAACAATTCTTTGTAATACGAACAGATCGTAACACGGACGGATTGAGCGAGGGAGATATTATAGATAATTAGGTGCGTGTACATTCGTTGGTAAAACATTATTAACATCTATTTTCATAAACATGGAAACAAGATCCAGGCGTACATACTATGTATCCTTTCTTTTTCAAACAATTCGCTATATTTCTTTCCTCCTCCTCATGCTAACCCATTATTTAGTATCACCGTTATCATGGTTTCCATGGGAACTGCAGGTTTTTCATCAAATAAAATGTCGGATTGATTATTTGAAGCATTTGTCAAGATCATGACGATAATTGCCATTTTGGAGGCCTCCATAAAACTAAGTGAAAGCAACATTAGTAAGACAAGCTTACACAATCAAGTTTTTACTACATCTCGAGAGGGAAGGGGGCTCACGAATGCTCAATCTTCATGATTCTTTGCCATTAGATGCATGCATGCCCACATGATTCTGGCAATGACACCTTCGAACGAAGAATCACCAGGGTTATATTATAACGTAGATCTACCTGGTACCCACCCCCCCCCCCCCCTCCTCCACCTCTCTGTCAAGTTATACGTAGACCAATCAAATAACGCTGCCAATTAACGCTCCCGAACCCTATCTGACTTAATGTTCATTCCATGTTCTCCAAGCAGCTGGAGCGCCAATTTTCCATCTGTTTGAACCAGAACTGAACCTTCAATTTATTTATTCCAAGACCGAAAATGTTGCATGCGATTTGGCAGCTTTGGCTCTATAATTCAGTCTAGGTCAGGCTCGAAACAAACTAAGGTCATTCGCGAGTAAGAATATAGTAAAACTTTCGAAGTCATATTGAAATTACACGTTGCCCAATATCGAATAAAAAAGGTGGCTCTCGAGTTTTAAACAATTAAACACCGATTCGTGATAACCTCAAAATCAATTGTCTTAATCCAATAATTAAGATTGCTCGAGAGTTCAACAAAACGTCTTTCAAGGTTAGCTCTTAGTTCAAACGCTTGCAACTTTTATTTCTTGATAGTACATGTATTCTCAGTGATCTTTCTTTGTTATCCATTCTTCTTTTCCCTCCTTTTCTTCCCATTCTTTTTTTCTTCTCCTTTTTCCTGTTTTCTTCTTGTTCCCCCCTCCCATCTCCTCCTCCTCCTCCTCCTCCTTTTTTTTCTTCTCCAGACTTCTTTAGAATTCCTTTTTCTTTATCGTCACTTCTTTGTCCTTGTTGATCAGTTTCTTCCATTTCGAATGTTGTATTTTATTTTGGATCAAGTTCCTACATTTCTTTCTTTTTCTGACTTTTTCTGTTATATCTCAAATCTTTTTTTAAAATGTTTTTTTGTTCAACTACTAAGTTTTTATTTCTCGAATCTTTGATTTTTCATGTTATTCCACGTATATAGCTTTCATTTGATATCTCGTTCCTTGCTTTTTACAACTTTAAATATCTTTCACATTATTCAGATATTGGTAATTTTTCGTTATACGTTACCTTCTCATATATATGTGGATAATCAGTGTGTATAGTTCCTTTATGCAATCTCCATATTTGAACTCACATTGTTATGTTATTCTGTTTATAAATGTATTTATACAATGTACACACGGTCATTAATAAAACAGTCCATTGATTGGGAATGCTCTTTTGAAATACGAATAAATACATGAAATACATTTTTTTTGTAGATAATCAATAATGCTTGTAGAATTCAAATTAGTTGTACAAACTATTTTACACGGAGTGCTAGGAATAGTAAAATTTAAGAATTTTAACATTTCCCTTGCAAAAATGATCTCTGCATATTATTATGACAAATCTACAACCTCATGCAAGCCTTGGCATTTCCTGAAAGCTCATAACAATGTCACTCGCCCAGGATGTATTTATCATACTTTGTCATGATGGCCTTGTGTAGTGCGCGTAATATTCTTTTTTTCAATTCTTTTTTTTAACAAATGAAATCGGCTCTCATCCTTAGTTCTGTTGTAATTAATGTTTTTGTTGTTGATGATGTTGTTCATCTGCAGTCTTGGTGATCTTCCTTTATCTGCATATATGTAAAGCATTGACCTAATATATGACAATTATTTATATTTTTAATAAAAGAATACCCAAAAATTACATCATCTTCTTTGTGCTACAGTTCTTACGTATAGCCTATTGATTAGAGGATTGTGTCCTTAATACAATATTTCTGTTAATATAGGCATAACGGCATACATGGGGGTGTACCCCTCACCCCATGGGGGGGGGGGGGGGGTTGGAGGGATTTGCATTGGTGGTCATGTAACATCACAATAAAGTAGTCCTAGAAGCGGTTAATGGATAGGCCCCTTCTTCAAATTTCAAGTCAAAACAGCTATGACGACACAGGTGGCATAAAGAAGTAGAGCCAGTTAAGGTTTATTAGGCTATACATGTATTTTGACAATCTTGAGATAAGATCTGGTATGGACATCGCATGTCGAGAGAACATGGATATTAGGGACTTTTAGATTTGCCGAATGAGAACGTGGATTGCTACGATCGACGTCCTTTTAATGCACTGCCTTGAATGGACGTCACAGGTATCAGTCCACGCACATCTAAAAGTCCCTATTATAATTTGTTTGGCATCGTGTCATTAATTTGTTTGTAATCTTGAACATTCAGTTGAAGTTTTGTTGTATTCTGTGAAAACTTATTTTCTATCATTACCAGAGCCCAAGCTTATATTTAAATCATGGCTTGTGGGATTAAATAAAGACAACATAATGGCTTAAATACATTAACATTGCTGATTATAGAATTATTCGGCAATGATTGCACGGTTGCCTTCTGTACTTATGTTTGCGCCTTCCCCTTCATTGAATACTGTAAACATTTTAAAATCAAGATGATGAAGAAACGGAAACAAATTAAAACTCAATAATAGAAAAAAACCTAGCAAAACAAATTTATTTGTCCGGTAATGACCTGTGCCTCCCCCCCCCCCCCCCCCTCTCCAAGTGTACCATCAATGGCTAGGGTCCTAACAGTAACATTCACGTCCCTTTATCCTCTGCCCTTTTCTATTTGTCTTCATTATTATTTCGTATAATTGTTTCCCCCATCATTTGCACTTTGGTTAAAAAAGAGTGACGGGGGGGGGGGGGGGCTCCCACCCTCCTCCGTTAATAAACCACTAATGTTATGCGTATCTGCTTTTTGCTTAGGATGATCCAAAACAAGTTATTTTTCTACCGGACAACAAAGGTTGGGAAATATTTGGGTCATAAAACATAATAACAAGGAAAGT